GCTGTTTCAACTCTCGGAATCGCATTTCGACCCCGATGTCACAAAAGTCAACTATGGGTCGAACTTTTCCATTTTTCAAAACTTCAACTTTTCAATTTTTGCCAAAATGCTTCAAATTGCCCTACGGACCTCAAAATCCAAATCCGGACGTACGTCTAAGTCCAAAATTACCACCCGAGCCTATCGGAACCATCGAAACTCCAATCCGAGATTAAATACTCAAAAGTCAACTCTTGATCAATTCTTTCAACTTCAAGCTTCTCAAATGAAAGTTACTTCTAAAAATCCTTCCCGAACTTCTCAAAAACCGGAACCGCTAATGCACGCAAGTCGTAATACTCTATGTGAAGCTACTCGTGACGTCAAAATGCCGAACCGGCCGCAATTGCTAAAATAGACCAGTCGGGTCGTTACAGAGAACTTGATTAGACTTCTGATCCTCTAATTCTTGAGAAACTTGGCGAGAACAGGCTTTCCAATAAGCCCGATCAAATCAGAGTTATCATAAAATGAAGGTAACGACCCTAATCTTGTGTTGATTTTTCGGACTTATTGGATTACTAACCAATCTAGCTTCATTGGTGCCACAGAAAACTAAAAGAATTTGTCTAACTCTTTATATTTTAAGAGCTTTAAATTTAATAAGTGTCTTGAAAGCAAAATGCACTATTTCTTTCTCTAATTCATATTTACCCCACACTCGAATTAATAGAATTTGACAGCCATGCTCGTCTTGCACTTAGTCGTGTCCTTTGAGTCGGCTAGGCACGTGACACCGATGCCAATGAGGAATGCTTTCGGAAATAACTTTTCTGCCTCCACAAGGTAAGGTTAAGGTCTACGTAATCCTCCCCAGACCTCACAATATAGGAATACACTGAGTATATTATTGTTGTACTCGAATTAAAAGACTGTCAAGAAAAGTAAAAGTAAGACAAGAAGACTAAAGGGCTAGGTCAATGCATCAGGAGGCAATAGAAAGCACAAGGAAACCACTTGTGTAACTTTCACTGATTCTTCACTTCGATTTGTCCACTAAATATTTAAATATTTGTACTCTTAACTAGATCTGTAAAGGTTTGCATTTTTGCCTGCAGTAGACTTAATTTGCCGTCTGCTAACACTACTTTCGTTATTAAGACATTGTCAAAACCATAACAATATTTGATAGTTTCAATCCTTAAACGCGTCATTAGCCGACTAATTGATTCACGTAATTAAGCAACCAGCAAAGCAATGTAGGCGCAACAAGACATGTTATTATCAAAAAATTTAGAGACTTAATTTTAAGTCCCGTTTGGCCATAGATTTTGGCTTCATTCTTTCAAAAAAAATCTAAAAACATTATTTGTTTATGAATTATGATCATGGTTTGAAAATAAAAACTTCAAAAAATTTCAAGTTCTCAAAAACTGGTTTATTGCAGTTTTTGTGTGAAAATTTTTCTTCCACTCACAAAACTTTTAACTTTTCTTCAAATAAAATGTATGTCCAAATACAACTTCACCTTTCGAAAACTATTTTTCAACACAACTTCAAAAACTCTTTTTTCAAGTTTCAATCAAATGTAAATCCAAATGCTAGCTTAATGCTTAAAGTATATATGTGTTTATATTTTTTTACTTATTCTGAATTTCATTTTCCTTTCAAAATGGGGTACAAGTCTCACTTTAAGCAGTTGGCATTAGCCACTAGCCTATACAGAAGTGTAAGCATCAATTCTTAATTACCAAGTCAACTTGGCTAGGACACCTTAAAGAGGAAAACCTTATGAGGAAAGGACAAATTGATAAGAAAAGAAAATTTTCTATAATTGTTATGTTCTAGATTAAGTACTACATCCCAAGAGAGCTAATGATAAAAAAGGGCAGTCCGGTACACTAAGCTCCTGTTATGCGCGGGGTCTGAGAAAGGACCGGATCAAAGTGTCTATCATACGCAGTCTTATCCTGTATTTTTACAAGAGGTTATTTCCACAGGAGAGCTAATGATAGTTTTCTTTAATTAGAAAGGAGTTAATATTTTGTATATTGGTAGCGTAAAGAATTATTATATTATAGGAAATTAAATTAACTAGAAATAACATGTAAGTCTCCGTACCAAAGTTGATGCGGCAACATAGCAAATAGAATAATAATCTTCAATAATCAATGATATTGCGTTAATATTTATTAAAAAATTACATTACCAATATGTACGAGAAAGTAGAATTTTTCTGTTTTACCTGTTATGCTATGAGAATGATCTTGAAAGGTACTTTCACATGGTGTATGATATTTGGTGCTTAATTCATAGTCAAACGACGACAAACGTTATAATAATGACATGCCTAGTTATGGTTTCGGCTAAATCTATAATTTTTGTCCAAACAATATATTTGATATTTAAAATTAATTAAATATATATAAATATTAAATTTAGAACCTAGTTACTCACATTTGAAGTCGTCGTTCTAAAATCAAGAACACATAAATTAAAATATTAGCTCAGCCTCTGAATAATAAGATTAAAAGAATTTAAAATCATCGCGCATTGTGGAAGTATACTTACAGTACTCTTGCGTCTCGTTTAATGATTAAAATCAAGTTTAGACATTGAAATAGCTTTTTTTTTTTGGGTGCTTTTGTAGAACATTCTAATTCAACATAGTAGTACTAATCTCTTCAAACTTAGACAATGAAAAGAAAGAAGAAAAAGATAAAAGAAGGAGAATATTATTTCGTTAAAAAAAAATTAAACTTTTAAACTGTCTTTCGTCCCGGTCAATGGAAAAATACATACTTTACCCATCGACCTTGCACTCAAATCCCCCTCTTACACACTTGTTAAACACAGGAATAATATTACATACCGAAACTTCTAAAAGTGTGTCAATTACACACCTCTTTTGCCATGTGTCACGTGTGTATTACAAAGAAAAGAGGTGCGTGAAAACTAAAAATCTCATCTGAAATTAAGTTTTTATTTTATTTTTTCTGTTTTTAATTATTTCCTTTTTAAATTAAAGAAAAAAAATATCAACCCATGTCTTCTTCCTCAACCCCAAACCCCAGCGCTTCCCCCCCTACTCCCTACCCCCCCCCCCCCCCTCCATGTTCGTCTTCTTCCCCAACCCCCATCCTAGTTTTGTCTGCCCCTCATGTTTCGCCTCTCCAACCCCCATGACTAAGAAGAAAAAGATAAAGAAGAAGAAAAGGGGAGCTACTGGGTCTTGTAAAAGTTACAATTATTGACCTTTGAAAAGCTTGAAAATTTAATTGGGTCTTGTTGATTTTGGTATTCCATGACCTAGAAAATTAATTTGAATTCGTGATTATTGTTGAGAAAAAATTTACTAAAAATATGCTGAAAATTTGGTGATTAATTTTGATAAAATTCAAAGAACACCATTAACAAGTTTAAAGCTTTGGGTTTGAACTTGAATTTGAAATTTTTATAAGGATTTGTGATAAATGTTGTTAAAACTTGTTAATCGGCAAAGAATTGAATCTATAGTTTGGGAAGAAGGTGCTTGTGGTGGAAGGGTTGGTGGTCGTATGGTGGTGGTGGTGGAGAAGA